ACCTCCCACCATTGTTTCACCGCCACTGAACCCAGGTACTCTCACAATTCAGCCTGGGCCTCATTTTTTTCTGGACATTTGCAGTGGGCCTATAATGCCCCTCTCAGCGCAGCCCTCGAACGACTCAGCCGTGCTACTCTGCCTCCTGATCTTTTGATCTCACCCACTATGGATCTTTTGCGCGACCCCTTTTTCGAAGACCTACTCCGCCTCTGTGCTTCAGATCTCGTTTCTCACTGCAGTGCTAGCCCTCCATGTGGTGAATTGTCTTTGTTGAAGCTTCGTCAACCTGGCCCTACGCCAGTTCGAACTTACGAGTTTTACTTTGAATCCCGAAACCCAATCCGCAAGAGCAACTTCGTCTCAATCAAAGCCACGAGCTTCTGCGCCCAGCAGTATACTGTTTACAACATGTGCATGCCGCAGGGGGGCATGGTCACCTAGAAGCTCCACCTAATGCTTTTACTTGGTAGGAATGGCTTTTTCAGACTCCCGACCACCCCGCTTGGTCCTAGATAGCAGTATTTGTAACACAAACCAAAATTGTTGTATCCCGGAGCGCCAGTGCTATCCATCTGTTCGTGACGTGCTTGAGAGTTTTCCACTACGACATTGTTCGGAGCCCCAGCATGCAGCCACGTTTGACGTCAAGTCCGCACACAAACGGATTGTTTTGGCAGAACATCATCGAGGCATGGTAGGGTTTACGTTCCAAGGGCGCATTTTCTTTTACAAGGTTTGCCCCTTCGGAGCCACACTTAGTGCATTCTGGTGGGGTCGATTGGGTGCATGGCTCGTTCGCACATTACATAGACTCATCTGGGTTCAACACGGCCTTTGGCTTTTTGTGGACGATTTCTTGTTAACGCAATCCCAAACGGTCCTTCCTGTGTTCGCCACCGTGTTAGCGATTTTCTGTCGTGTCTTTCGCATCCCTCTCAGTTGGCGTAAATGTACACTGGGACCAATGGTCGATTGGATCGGATGGAGATTCAATTTCTACAACGGCATTGTGAGCCTTCATCCTGCAAAACAAGACAAACTGATTGCACAAATTGAAGAATTGCTCAAACATCGCCAGTGTACTTGCAAGCAACAGGAAAAGTTCACGGGCCTGGCCCTTTGGGTCACACACCTTCTCCCTCCTTTCCGAGCCCTGTTGCACTGGCTCTTTTCAGACTTGCGTAGCTTGCCCTGCTACACACTACAGTGTCAACCCCGGTTGTTGGACCTTGGTCAAATCTTGCCTGGCGGACGACCTCAGCTTCTTGTGTACTCCACAAGGAACAGCCACCTCACTCTAAACTCATCTCAGTTCGCCATACCCCTGTTCAGACCTTGCAGGAAGTGGAATCGGTCCGTCTCACCGACCGTCGTTTGTGGCTTCGCATTATCAACCCCAAGTCACAACACAGAAAGCTTTCAGCCCACAGCAGAAGAGTGTTGAAGTTATGGCTTGATTGGCTTAAGTTCTCACCCCCTCTGCGCAGCATGCGCCCGCCGTTTCAGGTAGATATTCGAGCTTCAGCCGATGCCTCAGCTCAGGGAGAGTCATTTCAAGTGGGTGGTCTCATCGAATTCAACAATCTTATCTTTTGGTTTTCTGAAAGTTGGAAAGTTCTCGATCTCAAGCCTTTCGATGTCCCCGCCCGGCCGGGGCATAGCTTCCTACGAAACGTTAGCGCAAGGTTTCTTGATCTTGCTGTGCCTTGCAGTATGTCCCACTGTTTGCATACCCCTCCACTTCCAGAGCTTAAGCGATAATGTCGCTGCGGAAGCTTCAGTCAATAAGTTGTTCACCACATCCACCCCACTCTGCTATTTTGTAGAACACCTCGCTTACATCTTGGTGTCAGAACGAATGAGTTGCGATGTTTCACATATTCCAGGACCCCTTAACGTAGATGCTGACTTGTTGAGCCGATGGAACTTCATTAGTGATCTTCCCATCAAGTTTGCACCGGCCCATAGGCGACGCATGAGCCTCTCGAGCTTCTTTCGGTCTCACACGGCCCCACGGCTGTATCCTGACGGATTCCCGCTCAGGTGGACACTTAAGTCCAACTAGACTCTTTTCTCTGCCAGCGCTCAAAGTTTTTTGGTTTTATAATTCCGAGTGTTGTTGGAAAGCTGTTTGGTGAAATGTCATCCCAACACATTCGAAAACCGACTGGCAGTGAAAAGAGAGCAGACGAGATTCGGAGTGCAGCTTTTTGGGCATACACGTGTACTAGAACATTGAGTATCTCTAGAACATTTGTAGTGACCAGTGACCCCTCACGAAATGTTTTGTGATACTTATTGTTCGTTGGGCCATTTTGGTTCTAAGATATCTCAATGTTCAGCCCCACCCTCCACACCCTAGTACTTGCTTCTCTCCGACAACTTTAGCTATGCCACGCCAATGATCCAAAGGATCAGGATTGCGATCCAAGATGAAGTGGATCACACTCACAGGCTCAGGAGGAACAGCTTTTTGGACATACACGTGTACTAGAACATTGAGTATCTCTAGAACGTCATCGTCATCCTCATCATCATCATCGTTACATTCTGCCACTTCTCCTCTTTTGCTTTCGGGCCAACCTGTCGTAATTTTTTGTTTGTTGCTGCCATTTTTTATTCTGCAGAAAACTGTTACTTGTGGGTCTATCCGGTCCTACACTTCAGTTCTACTTTGGTTATCATACATTAATCGTACATGAAAGGGAGATCATTGCAGGAACCCCGACCAAGTTTTAAGTGGAGCGTTTGATGTTTCTGGTGCAACTAGCATGTACAGAAGTTGCACAGGCTGGTAGTTGTTTTTACCTGTACTGGGACTGAAACAGGGTTCTTGATCGTTCGTATATGAAAATGAGCGAAGTCAGCATGTTGAAACAACGTTCCGATATTGAGGTTTTGCTTTTCACAAAGGTGCCAAAGCCACGGGGTGGGCAACGATGCTCGCCGGACCTGCTTGCTCAGCTTGCTGGCAGGAAAATGGTCCTTCACTGTAATTGTATGTCCATATTGTGCACCGTATATTTTTACAGTTGGAGTGGTAAGATCCACTTGAACTCGGTCTTCGTTCATCTAAATAATTATGCCACAATGGTCCTTTGAGCGCCGACTTATGGTCTTGCACATTCACTACTGTGGAAAGACTTCAGCTGTTCAGCCCCCTGCCTTTTTTTTCATCATGAGGGTAGAAATCAATGCGCCGGGAGTGTGTCACCCCAATTGAGCCTTCCGCACCTTCTTGCATGTACAGCGAGGGAAAATGACACATGATAAGTCAGTCTTTGAGGAAACACCACTCCTATTATTATGTTGCCAGTTTCTCGAGAAAGATGGTTTGTTTGAACGAGGCGGATGTAATCGTTCTCACTGAACATTGCGCCTGCACGACCTACTTTTGCGGCAAATAAAGTGACCCGCGCGCCCTGCACACAAGCACCCCAAGAATCCGTTTGAAAAAGACACAACCTGAGTTTACATTGCCTGATGCCTGTCAGTTTGATTTTTTGTTTAGTGCACTGCGAGAACTTCAAAAGAACAATCGTAATGGTCTCAACACCTCGATGATCGCAAAACCAGGCAAGTCTTTCTGGCCATTCGATCGCACTCGGTCTAGATCATGCGCTCTCACAAATTGCAAAGAGGATTCTTCCTCAGGTCGCAAATCGCACACAGTGCACGGGTCCTTGTCAATTGAGGACGGCATGTTAAGATGCTAATAATGCCAACGAGTATAAATTGCACTTTCTACATTTTTTTAGACATGTTTATTGAAGGTAGTCCTTCGTCCAACTCAGCATGATGCATTTTTTGCAGCCATTGCCTGATCCTTTGCTAAACCCACGCTTTGGAATCTGTTTGTTTATTAATTTGCAATGTGCCCAACCGCGTTCTGGTACGCTCTGGATGGCCCGCATTGTTGTGGAACCAAAGATCATTTTCCCTTTATGAGAGTCGCCACGCACACAGAAAACTTATATAATGTGGCACACAGAAAACTTATATAATGTGAAATTGCATTTGTATGCTTTCTGTTTCCTTTAGGTGCCACATTAGATTGTTTGCCCCAACACCCCCACTTGGCGTGGTGGGAGGAGATTGTAGAGCATAGGAGCGCAGTTGAGCGAAAACTTCTCAGTTGTTTTGTTCTAAAGAGCGACCCTTGAGGTTTTATTTTCAATCTTTGAACTTGAGATTCATGAGTCTCGAGTACATTTTCTTTCGAGTTCCAAGAAATTATTGCAAACACAAGCCTGACCAGTGGCAGCCACTCACCTGAAATGTTGTTGCGGAAAGGCAGCTGTGTAATTGTTTAGAGTATCAAATTGTTCCGGCTTGTATATGCTCAAAGCCATGTGTGAAACCTGCACAAGAATTGAGGCCACAAAGTGAGCAGATGCCACGAAAGTCCCGCTTGAGCACCCTCATTTTCTTCCCCGCTCATTACAAAACCTACGTAGTTTGCTGCTGGTGGTAGCTTCAGGCTCTGCATTCCCATGCACTGTCGTCGATCTGATGAGATCTGATGAGTGGGAAGGTGTGAAGGTGGTGGGTTACTGGTGCGCGTCACTGGCTCCCCAAGCACAGAAGCTTACCCGCCCTACCACGGAAGCCAACTATATCTCTAGAATGTTATGATGGATTTCTGATTTGCAACGCATTCTCTCCGATCAAAATGGTTTTGAGCAGCCACAATGCATATGTGGTTGCCTTTAGGCTCAGCTCAGAAGGGGAACATGCTATGTAAGACCATTCAGAGACTGACAATGAAATTGGTGAAACATGGCGCCAGACTCACAAGAATCTAGTCTGGCGGATACCTATTTGTGGATGTTTTGGGTAGTACTGTACTTGATCTTTAGTTGGTGTAGGACATGAATCTGATCCAGCCATGGTTCGATCATCGATTTAACACTCCCATATACAGTAGGTTCCTCCTAGGTTCAAGATTCTAGATTCAACAATTTAATTGAATGTAGAAACCATAGGGTTGGAGCAATATGGGGTTTGCATCCTGCAATGCCAAATTCTTGGCCAGAAGCCTTGCTGCTTTTCCTGCAGTACTGCATCAGCTGAATTCGCAAAACATTTCCCGACGAGATCGTTTCCAAGGCCCGTTGACTTGCAGCACAGAGCCTACAAGAGGATTGACTGAGGGTGTGTCAATTTCCATCCCAGAGACAGTTTGTCCAAAGCTGGCAAACACTCTACAAGCTCGTGTTTTGAAGCAAGGACGTCTGTTTGATTGTACCTTCTTTGCATCAAAACCAGAGTTTGATGATGCGTGGACATGGTCCTGGGGCCTTTTGAGTGTGACATCAATCAGCAGATCATGCAGACAGTATGAAAAGCGGCAGAAAACTACTGCGGATTCAAGCAACAGGCTACATGACAAAGATCGTGTTGAGTCAAAATGGGGCTTGAAGGAACTTGGTGATTCGTCTTGTGAGTTCTATGACTCGGCGGGTGAGCTGGTTGCATGTGGCTATGAGGCTATTGTTTATGGTGACCATGGACCATATATCGAGTTCAACGAGGACCAAATACACTGGCCAACATTTTGTCAGCACAAACTCAAAGGACCAGACCGAACTCACTTTGAACACTACAACAAGGACGTCTCGATCAAGCTTTACGATCAATTTCAGACCGTGGCCAATCAACCGAATCCACCTCCCGATAATCCGTTTTCAACAGCCAACAATCGTCCGGATGGATATGCTGACTATCGGCCAGGGAAGCTGTACATCTCTTGTGATTTGTTTTTTTCTGCAGGAGGTCGCATGTATGGCCCAGAGTAGCTGTCAACGAGTGAACGGCAACCTATATAGCCAATGCCTGCGAAAAGCAGGCAGCCTATAAACCCAGACAAAAACGCGGACACATGATGTGCAAAAGTGCTGATTGTGCGTGGCAAGCCTGTGGGTGAGTGAAGTTTTTTTCTTTTTTTTTCAGGGTTCGGCCTATGGGAAACAATACATGAGGTGGAGTCTGCAATGCCCGACTTTGATCAGGTGCCGGTTCTGCGCTGCTCCAGAGTCAGAACAGAGGCATTCACATCAGCCCAGAACAAAACAGCCATGGCACGCGGATCCAGCATCCTTGCAGGTGCAGTGCTGCTGGCTGGCCTGGCAGCCCTGAACTCCGTGTCCTTCGT